ATGGGAAGATGAAAAGGGCAAATTTGTAGAGGCAAATAAAGATAACATGCTATTAGAAGAAAAAAAACCTGATTTTATGTATGAGAAGTTTTATATAAACCTCATGGTAACCATAAAACAAAAATCTAGAGAGACATGAAACATAAACAAAGAGTAAACAAAGAAAAACATCATGAAAAATACCAAACTAAAAAGCAGACAGGAACGCAAGGAAAAAGAAACAACGGAGATATACAGCACTCAGAAAACAAATGATACAATGGCAGCAGTACACCCTCGTATATCAATAATCACCCTAAATGTAAATGGACTGAACTTACCAATCAAAAGGCAGAAAACAGCTCGATATGTTAAAAAAACATAACCTAACCATATGCTGCCTTCAGGAGACTCGGCTCCATTGATGTCAAAAAGATTAACAAGTTGACCTAATTACTGACTCAACTCTAGGTGTATACTGTCTTACTAGGCAGAGATGTTAGGAGACTTGGGGCTATAGATTAATATGTTTTAGGGGGGCAGCTTTGTTGAGGTGTAACTGATGCACAAAAGAGCTGCGTCTGTTTGGATGCGCGCAGTCGGTGAGTCCTGACAGGAGTGGACACACAGCCACTGAGGCCGCCAGCAGGTGTGCACACGTGGGCCGTTCAGTTGTATGGACCCTGGTCATTTACTAATACAGAAACAACAATCTCTCCTTCAAGAGAGTTTTAATTACTTTATCTTGTCAAAATGGAACTGAGGAAATTAATAAAAAGTTAATACAGCAAAATGTAAAAAATATAAATAACAGAGCTTATTTATAAGCTTATATGTAGAGAGAAATAGATGGTTCCTAGCTTTAATTTGTTTCAAATGATAGAACAGATTTAGAATCAGAACAATGGTCAGAACATAAATTCCAAATTAGCTATACAAATCTAGCCCAGAAGGTTGGGTAAAGATGATAAAACCAGGGAAATATCACTTTCCGATAGAGGGTGGTTTCCTCAGACAACAGAAGCCCCGAAGAGAGCATCATGCCCATTAGAGCACCAGGCTGCGCAGGGAACACAGGAAGGACCCAACTAGGGACGATGATGCACGGGTACCATAACACAGAGCTTTCTGGGTTTTAGGGGTTTCTTCCCAAGTGCTTTTGCTCCAAGGATAAAAAATTAAATTCTACAATGAAGTGTCAGTGGTCAGCAGGTATTAGGCTTGCCAGATAAATTCATAAAATCAGGAAATCAAACTACTGGAAGCTTTACTTAAGAATGTATACAAGACTACACACACACCCCTTTTAAGAAAAATATGATTATAGAAATGCAATTGTGAGAATGCATAAAAGTTTATTTTGAGATTTTATTTTGTCATATTTATATGTAGCCCTACTGATTATAAGCTTTAACAGCAACTAACACAGTATTAAAATTTATATTTTCAATTTGTAGGATGTGAACAAAAACCAAAATAGAATTATAAATAGCTATATATTTCTCCTCCAAATATAAAATTGTTGTTTTTATATCACGATGTAAATTTGTTAAAGGTTTTCTCATTATCTAATTTACTTCTTGTAGAAAACTGAGAAGTGCACAAAGCATTATACAATAAGAAAGCTGAGTCGCAAAGGTTTAAATAACTTCACTGGAATGAAGAGTTTTAGTGCTTTCCTATTTATTTTTTGAGAAATATAATATTCCAAAGCATTTGTATATTATTAATGTCACATATAATGAGCACCCAGTATTAGTGTCAAAATTACTATTAAAAATTACTATTAAAATTAGTGCATTAGTGCATTTTAGTCTCTTTACATTGAGCAGATGTGGTATATGCATCCAGATAAAATTCACATGAAAGACAGGTCTATATAATACAACAACTTACTACACACCAAAATATCCACAAGGCTTTTTTTAAATATTATCTACTTCTAAGTTTATTGGCAAATTAAATCGCTAGATATAGCATATCATGTTCAAAAGACCATATCACCCAGAGCTGCCATAATACTCACATAATTTAGTCTTGGACTAAAATAAAGCACATTATGAAAGCCCGATGTGTAGCCATAGAGCCCAGTTGAGAAATCTTTCCTGAATATGTTCAAGAGGATATTTGGCTCAACTGATGCATGAAGTTGTAAGGCTATGGTCAAATGACACTTTCCAACTTCTTGTCATGAAATAATCTCACTATGCAAATGTATATGTAAACCTTTGAATCTGTTCCCAGCGTTTACATAGTTCTAACCTTAGAGTATCCGTTGGCTGGGGAGGCAGGCTAAGCTCTAGCATACATTCAAGGATGCCTAAAATCCCACTTTGTTGCCACAGCCCTACACAGTGAGATGGCTCGCGGTATCATCCTCAATCATGGGGAAAGAAGGGCTATCAGACTTAAACACTTCACAGGCATGTGTGAATGTTAAATATAGTACAGTGCTTACTGAAATTCACAAATCTTTCATACTAATTTCTATCATACGATCAGCAATACCTGTGAATTTTAAAAGATCAAAGTAAGTTTAGAGGAAATACAATCCTAAGAAGAAGGTAATCCACAATGCATCATAGATACGGGCTAAAAATGAATTTTGTTAAGCATTCTAACAAGATAGTGACAAAACAATATTGTTCCTAATAACACTCAATAATATTAGAATTAAAATAAAATGGCCAACTTATTGTTCACATTGTGGTTTCTAAATACAAACTCCAATAAGAGAAACAGGAGTTACTTGGAGAAGTGTTCAATTCCGGGTGTATAGAAGGCAAAGCACAAATCAACCTGGAGCATCTTGTGCTAGAAAGTAAGAAAGTAGGGGGCGAGACGAAAAAAGAAAAAAGAAAAAGAAAGTAAGTAGGATGAAAGGGCAAGATGAAAGAACAGAGGCCAACCAGAAAGAGCTACTATAAGCCAATGCTGGTATGATTTGAACAACAAAATAAATAATAACAGTTTGGGATTATAACACATAGAATAAAATAAATACTTCTAAGCCAACTGACACAAATAAGTAAATAAATAAAAAATAGAAGAGAGAGCTCTTTCTTACAGAAGAATTCCAAGTAGTAAAAGTAATAGGAATCAGGGAAGTAGAAAGTCAGCATAGAACCCCACAGTAAATAAGTCTTGCCTACAGGCAAGATCCATCCACTGATGCTAAAATTAGTGGGAGAAGCTTGAAAAGAAACAGAATATTTTATATAGTCTCACAGTACCTCCCCCTAAACACTTATAATCTCAAAGGAAAAAAGAGTAATTTTACAGTGTAGCAACTCTGTAAAAAGACATCAGTAAAGAGACAATAGATACCTTGTACTTCTGGTATAATGCACTGGGAAGGACTTATCACTAATGTGGCAATCTTGCCAAAAAATGTATAACCTCAATCTAATCATGAGAAAACACCAGACAAACTCAAGGTGAGACAGTCTACAAAATATCTAACCAGGTCTCTTCAAAGTAGCAAGGTCATGAAAGGTAAGAAAAAACTTAGGAACTGTCCTAGATCGATAAGAATATGGAGACATGATAAGTGTAATATGGAATTTTGGACGGAATCATAAAACTAAAAAAAAGAACATTAATAGGAAAACGGATGAAATTCTAACAAGGTCTACAGTTAATTAACATTATTGTGTCAACATTACTTGCTTGGTTTTGATCACTGTACAATGGGTATACAAGACTTTAACACTGAAGGTAAAAGGAAAGTCTGTATTATTTTTGTAAGTTCTCTATAAGCCTAAAATTATTTAAAAATAGAGCAATAAACTAAATAAATAAAACGGCTCATTCTGAGGTTGGAAAAAAAATAACAGCAACCATGACCCAAATTTTTTTGAAGCTAATTTTAACTGTTATTTAGATTAAGGGAAAAATTACTGCATTTTTAGATGATATAAAGAAAATTAAATTCAGAAAAGTAATTTTAATTATGGCAAAAAAAATTTAACATAGCCAACTATTGCATAAATAGATTGAAATAAGTTGCATAAGAATCTTCTTTTTCGTGTTAAGAAATCATACTTTAGGGCTCAAATCTTTCTTTACCTAGTTGTATTCAATATTTCAAAAGCAGATAAATAAACACAGCACTATGTCTAATACAGGCCCTAACCATACATCACTACGACAGTAATTATCAATCTTTGGTTATCTCACTCCTTCTAGATTATGAACTCTGAAGGCAAGAACCATCCATCTTCTATGCCAACTGCTCAGTCCTAGTCCAGCATGGTTCTCCAGATATGGGGTACTAATAATTATTAGCTCAAAAAAATTTTTTTAAGTAAAAGATCTTTCTGGTTGAAAGGACTTACTTTCATATATTTAAAATGCTTTTAATTATAAGAAACAATCTCCATGCAATTTATGATTATAAGAAGAAGACAAATTTGAGGATTCCAATCTGCTATTTTGAAATGGAATATTACATGCTTTATAGCTGAAACAGTTTTAAAATACAGATCTTCAGTAAAATGGCTTTCTTGAAGCTTCTAGCTTCACAAAAATCATAGTGAAATAAAGAACATATTTAACCTACATAAAAAGCAGGGTATTATTTTGATCAGCTTTTGACCAGTTTTATCAATATTTTAGATTTTCTGTACCTAAACATAAGACTCGAATAGAAAACAAACAACTCAAACGAATGCATAACTATTTACAAAAGTATCAAACATAGGGACTAAGTACTTTTCTTCAATGTTTTAAATGGTGTGCAATGCAAAATAGTGAACATTCCATTCTGTGCTCTTCTAGATATGTGCTATGGCAACATTTAAATTTTGCCTGACATCAAGTATTATTTTTTTAAATTTAGGAATAATAGTTACAATCATATTTGATTGAGTTTGCTTCTCAGACAAAAGCCCAAAGAAAGTAGTAAAAAAAAAAAAGGCAAAATTCATCCTAGGAACAGAGAAAGAGAAGGAAAGAAGGAAGAGGGGAGGAAGAGAAGGAGAAGCACTAAATGAAAATATAAGCCTCATAAATGCCCTTACCTTCACTTTGTTTTTCTGCTTGTTTTGACGCATTTTCTACTTTTTTTTGTTTTGCTGCTAAGAGTTCCCGCTTTAATTGTCTTGCTTCTTTTCTGAGCTCTTCACTATAAAGCAAACACAATTATATAAATATACAATATACTGAGAAAAAGTTACTTAGCAAAAACAAGTAATTCTGGTTTTGAGGTACACAACCTTTAAGAGAAACAAAGTGAATAATGTAATTCATTTTGTTTCTGTGTATGTATATTTCTGGTATGAAAATGAATTATTATAAAATATATCTTGTTTCAAGTATATCAAACAAATACGTAAGTGATAAATGACCCAGTGTTCTCTGTCTAATTTACTTGCAAATTTAACATTCTAGTTTCAGTTTAATAATTCAGGGAGTTCCAAATCAAAGCAAAATTTTTGATAAAGTACTATTCACTAAAAGATTTGGCTTTAAAACTCATTGAATTTTTTTTTATTTATTTTTAGAGAGGGAAGGGAGGGAGAAAGAGAGAGAGAGAGAAACATCTATGTGCAGTTGCTGGGGGTCATGGCCTGCAACCCAGGTATATACCCTGACTGGGAATCGAACCTGCGACACTTTGGTTCGCAGCCTGCGCTCAATCCACTGATGAATTTTTGAACTAGCACAAATAACTATCATTTATTAAGCAATTTTTACAAGCTAGTTGCAGTGCTAAAATTTTTATAAACTCAATTTTTAACCTATTTAATACCACAATTTGGCAAGTAACTTCCTCTTCTATGAAAATTATCAGACTGCTGTATTCCAATGATAAATACAATGACATATTAAAGTCAAACTGAAATGTATCTCACTGTAAGTCAGAAGTTTAAGACTAGTTTCTACAAGCCGGTTTTAGGACAGGAGATTCAAACTTATGCCTTAAGAAAAAATTATTAAGTGCCATTTGATGAACCCTTAGGGTCACTTGTGAAAAGTCAAAACTATGCATTTTATATCTGTGGATGTCAAACATTCACTCTATTTTCTAAAGCTAGAATGGATCACAGAGACAGACTGAGAACACCCTAGTCCAAGCAGGCTGTCATTCTGGAAATGGCTCCAAAGACACCCATGCCAAGGTTTAGTGGGATCTTAAATCTCCAAAATTCTATACTGATTCAACCTTTAGTTCTTCCTCCTGATCTCTAATGTGTTACCACTGTTCTAGAAGTTACCGAACTGAGGCCCTAAAATGGGCATGACTCAGTTCTTTCTACCTCTTTCCCACATCAAACACACACAACCATATTCTGTATTGGCTTGGCCTCCAAAATCCTGAATTCTGAAACTTCCCTCTCTGATCAACATCTACTACCTTTTACTTTCTCAGTCATTCATTCATACTTATCCTGTGATCTCTCTTAAATGCTTACCCATAGTTCATGATCTACCGGTCCTACTCTAACCTCAACAGACTCTCTATCCATACTGGATGATATGGTTGGCCATTTCACTGATGTGCTCAACTGTACCCTTAATCTTCTTGACATGTCTGTCCTTACGGATACGTCAATAGAAGAAGACAAACCTCCACAGAATACGATTTGTTTAGATGTTGGATGTTGCCTGGGAATTTGTGCTGGCAACAAGTTCCCCAGGTGGTTCCATTATGCACTCAGGTTTGGGACCCAAAGCATTAGCACCTTATTATGGAAATTATCTTCTCTTTCTTACAACTTCAAGCACTCCTACTTCAAAGATCCTTTCATTCAGCCAACAGACATGCTCACATTTCCCTGGACTCTGCTCCAATCAAGTGATTATTATCTTCCCAAGTGGACTCCTTGCCTGAAAGAACAGTTTATATACACAGCCTACTCCATCACCTCTAACTTCTTACTTAATCTCTTGCAATCTATCCTTCTTAAACTCTCCTGAAACTACTTCTGTATCAGCCAAATTCAATGCCTTTTCTCAGTCTTCCTCTTTCTCTTTGACCTATCATTCAATGATATTAACCACTCCTTCCTTCTTGAAATTCTATCCTAATCAGACTTATCTACCACTTAAGAGTCTTGATTCTCCAATTCTCCTCCTTGTTATTCTTTGTCTTCTCATCCTATAATTGTTGGCATTTTTTCTCATTTCTACTCCCTGTACACTGGCATTTTTATCTAATTATCACATAACATCAAGTATCGCCTTTACAAAGGTTATTTTTAGATGTAGATGTTTTGCCCTGATTTTGGTCCTGCATTTCTAACTATTGCAAATCTCCACGTATATTGGTGCTGTTGAACAGAAATAAATACAAAATAAGACACATATGCAATTTTATGTTTCCTAGTAGCCACAATTTTAAAAAAATAGTAAAAAAAAAAAGGTTAATGTCTAAAATATTTTTCAACATGCAACCAATATAACAATATTAATATGATATTTTACATTCCTTTTTGGTACTAAATCTTCTAAATCTGTTATGTATTTAGTACCTCTTAATTCAAACTAGCCACAGTTCAAGAGCCCAGATCTAGGGGAACAGCTGAGGCTAGATGTTACAATAATGACAAATGCTCTACGTTCAAACTTGGAGTCATTTCCTTCCTGTCCAAATCTGTTCCTTCTTCTGAAGTACCTATTTAGTCATGGGACCACTTTCTGTCATAGCCAGACCTTAAAACTCCTCTGGGGCTGTTCTCCCTACCAGCTGAATCATTGTTGAAGTACGTTATTTTCCAATCTCACTCACATATAAATGCTCTTCTTCCCTTTCACCATCATGCCTAGTTTATTTCTTAGATAAATGTAATTACTTCCTATTTTTGAAGTTATATTCATATAAACACAGGGAATAGCAAGAAAATATGACCCAAACCAAAAAAACAAAAACAAAAAACAAACAAAAACCAAGTAAAAGAAACAAACCCAGAAATGACAGAAATTATATAGTTAGCAGAAAACTTTCAAACACCTATTAAAAATGTATTCAAAGATTTTAAAAGAAAATAAATATAAAGAGAAGAAACTGGGAGATTTTATATGTACACAAGAGGAGACCCACTAAAAACCCTGGAATTTATTTATAAAAAATTGTGTATTTACTCTTATATGTTTAAACTTCATTTGCCTTCAAAGTAGTCTCCATTTGATGCAATATACCTATCAAGACTTTTTTCCAATTCTCAAAACAGGTTTTGAACTCATGGATTTTGATGCCTTGTAGTGCTTCTGTTTTTTGTTTCACCTTTTCCACACAGGGAAAATGTTTCCCTTTGAGGACATTTTACATGGGCAGCGGACACAACAAAAATTTGCTCCAGGCAAGAGCAGGTGAATAGGGAGGGTGAGGCATGGGGTCATGCCATTTTTGGTCAAAAACTGCTGAACACCCAGAATGGTGTGGGCAAGTGCACTCCTAAACCACCCATCATGAAATGGGCAAATGTGTTGAAAGAGTCTTCAAAACAAAATTCATTGAAGCCAAATGCAGCTTGTCACAACAATGCTAGTGGGGGAAGCCTATACTCCAAGAGGCCCACTCTCCAGAAGGTAATCCTATTTTGGGAGCGGTCCCCCATACATAAATAATAATAATAGTACATAATAAAAAGTAATAACCACCATGACAAAGAAATGACTAAAGCATGTTGAAATTCAGGGAAGTAATTCCATAGGTTAAGTAAAGGATGGCCTCAGAGGAGGCAGTTGAACTGGGCCCTGAGAGATGAGTAGGAGTTGGCCATGTGGAGACACAGTGAAGGAGCATCCGAACAGTGTGCCTAAACCAAGGCAGAGAGGTAGGGAAACACAGGTACATGCTAGAGCATAAATGTCTTAAAGGGGTGGCAGGGCTAGTAACAAAAGACAGAGCTAGAAGAGAATCTGGGGCAAAGTCTAAATGCTAAACATTTGTGAGTGGCCAGGTGAGTATATTTTCATTCAATTTTTCCACACCTTTGAGCTTCCAAGTTTTTTTCCCACAACCAATTTCTTAACTGCTCTTTTTGTCTTCCTTCAACCCACTCTCCACCTATTTTAATACCTTACTAGTAACCCACAGAGTCCTTAGGTTACTGTCTTCTAAGAAGTAATTTATGATATCGGAATAAAAATGTTCAAGAGCTTCCCTTTACATAGTAACTTAGACCTTCTGAGAATCCGACTTTGTTGACCTTTGCTCTCTGACATACCAGATCTCCTCCTCCCTTTTAGATATTCTTTGTCTGTTTTCAGTGGTTTTACTCACTCACCTTCTGCTCCTCAAATTTAGGTGCTTCTCAGTAGCCTAGCTCAACCCTCTCTCTCTTTAGAAATTTCATCCATGTTCAGACTTCAATTCCATCTATCTTTTTTTAAAGTACATTTTATTGATTATGCTATTATAGTCCCATCTTTTCTCCCTTTTATCCCCCTCCGCCCCGTCCCCCGCCATTAGTCTTCCCCTCCTTAGTTCATATGATTCCATGTATCTTAATGGAGCACTTGTATAAAATCAAGATCGTTGGCCTGATGGTCTTTAGACATTTCTACTTTCAAGATTAAATTGACGTTTCTAACTGCCAAATGAATACTTCCATTAGATATCCCATAAATGCATCAAATGTATCATTTTAAAAGTCAGACTGGTCATTTTGGTTCCTCTTTCCTACTTTTGATCAAGTGACCAGAAGGCTGACAGTGAGCCCCACCTTCTGGCGGTCCTTTACTTCCTACAGCTGATAAGGAGTCTTCCTTTCTGTGGTTAGAGACAGCTCTCCCGGCTTTCCTGACTTCACTGTCACCACAGTCTCCCACTAGGTCTACGCCCTTCTGCTCTGATGTTTTTTCCATTCATTTTGCATACTTATGCCAAATCCTACAATTCTACACCCATGATCTTCCTAACTCCCTCTTATGAGCTACCTTCAAACTACATTTTCAACTTTATCTCTCACCTATCCTCTACAGTTACATTTTGGCCAAAATGTACTAGTCATAATTACCTTGGCAAACTTTGATGCAGCACACATGCCCATTTCTTTGTGCCATAGTCATTACCTAAAATGGTCTTTCCTCCCTATTTCTGTCTACTAAAATCTTCCTCATCTTTCAAGGCTTTCTGGAGAAAGAGGCAGTTCACCATAAGCCTTCAACCAAAGTTGT